TTAAAAAAATGAAACAAATAATGCAAATGTAGCAATGTTATCTTTCAGGGGGAAACAATATGATAATCAGTTAATTTGCACTGGCCTTATCTTAATATATATTCAGATATCATGTTTACGATTATTTTTCTGTAAAACTAATTGAGATTCATAGTCTGAATTGATGTATAAGTGAACTGATTATCTTTCATATGTAATATATTTTTGGGAAAAAACCCCGAAAAAAATCAAAATCAACTGTATATGTTTTTATATGACAGTTGGCTTGAAGTTGTATCTCGCTTATATTACAATAGTCCTAATATTCTTTTACTATTAAGTTATATATACTATTTTCTGTCTACTGTTGATATTTTCAGATAATCATGTAGACAATTTAATCTAATTTAAGATGAAGATCAATGAGGTATATGTGGAATAATCAACGAGCTGAACGTTTTTTTCAGCTAATTATAACAACAACAACAAAAAATTAAAATAAAAAAAATGTCAATCCTATAGAGAACTCCACTAATGTCAGCCTATTGTTCTGAGGAAATAATGTATCTAACTGTGATGCAATAAAAAATGGATGATGGCATACGGTTTGATCTCAGCAATGTAGTAATGTGATGTCATGTCTCTTCAACTGACCAATCAGCATTGAGAGGCAATAGGCACATGTCAGAAAGTTACTACCTTTCAGTCAGTATACTGTGTCTGTGTGGTATCCATGTTTAACGATGGTATGGTATCTCCGTGGGCTAGCACAATATAACCAACATCAATGTGGACAAGTACAAGCAGCCACACACACACACAGAGACGCACATACACACACGCCAGAAACCTATGATTGTGGGTTCTAATCCCGGTTCACCCCGATTATGTTTCTAGGTTTGTCAGCACCATACCCACCGGTGAAGTGTTAAACGTCTGAGACCTGCATCGCTTCGGGCTTTCCTCCCACATTTAGCTGACACGCCTTGATATAACTGGAATAATGTTAAAAGCGGCGTTAAACCCAACTCACTCACTCCTAAAAATAATACACATAATCCAGGAGTGTCATGAAAAAATGGACAGTTTTTAAATAATATATATTCTGCATTTTGTCATGGGCAGGGTCATGGAAATAAACGTACAAGGACAAGGAGAGGGCCATCCAAAATATGACAAGCATTAGGAGATGGTCATTATATTCTGTACATTAGTGCACCAATAAGCCCTAACCAACCCTCCCTGTAATACGTGACCAGTCCCTAAAAGTGGACTATGACCAATTTTCGGTCTTCGTTTGGATGTAACCAGTGAAGGAGACAGCGGCAGACATTATCTGTGTTTAATTTGGGTAATCAATTACTATTAACTTAATCACTTCACAAAATGTTAGCTTCAGTCACTCTATATATATCAGAAAACACTCTTTCCAGCCTACATAAACTAGTCAAAAAAATTAAAGTACTCCCAATTTTTTATATGACTCCAGTTAACCTGTCATGGCTTGTGGGCATTTTGCCACACCCAGCCTTTGAATCGTGGGTGTTCTTTCACTTGTTTTGAGTAGTATATGTTTGTTGATTGTAGAGGGAGTGATTGATGATGATGATGATGATGATGATGATGATGATGATGATGACGTGTTGATTATTGTCGTGTCATGGATTTGTCTGTATTTAAAAGTTGTGATGTAGAGATTCCTAACACTCTGCTGGTCAGATCTTTGCTACTTTTGCTACACATTTTTGTGGTAATAAATAAATTGATGGGTTATTTCGTTGGTGTGTCATGAATCTGCATGTCCTGCCAAACTGAAGAATTTAGGAAGGAGATTCCACAAGTTTTTCCCGGAATAACCTGAGTTGGTCACGAATGCATTGGGACGTCATCGTCACCAGGACGTCACAATCAATTGACATCACTAATCTCTCTTCCACTAAAATAGGGTAGAGCGAGCCGAGAGCCGTGAAGGGGTCTTTTTCAAAGATACTGGGTACCGTTTCATAAAGCAGTCGTAAATTTACACGCTCGTAGAGTTTATGCCATATTTGCGCGGAGTTATGCCATGGTCTAAGACTATTTCACAAACCTACACTAAAACTGGCGTAAACCGCAGACACCTTACACGCCTGTCAACTATGAGCTATCTCTGTTTGTGAGGTGGGAAAATTGAAAGCACGAGAGTTACCCACCGTGGCAGGAGCTCCGAGCAGACGATGAAGTGGAATAATATTGAGGACATTCGTGAAAAGAAATCGAGGAAAAGAAAATTTTCGCCAGAGAAATCGAAATTCTTACGGAATACGTCGGTTCCAATTCAGACGTTTTGTTTTACTACTTTTCATCATGCATCACGAACAACAGAAAGAAGAAAATATGGGATAAGATTCTGACAAAGTGGGTGTATTTCTATGGCATTGAACCCCAATATTCAATATGAAGTATGCTTTTTATTTTTTTAGTGATAGACCTATGCCGTTTAGAGTTATCGCGCTTGTTGTTATGCGGGCGCTTGTTGTTATGCGGAAGTAAACACATAGGGATACAAGTTGACTGTACTTGAACTAGTTTGACGCCTTCTTTGATAGTACAATATTTGAAAAGGTAATTTTTTTTGCCAGGGGTACAGATCTAATATAGATCTATTTGTGAAAAAAATAATTAAGTCCTTACCAGACAATAAGCCGGAACTATTTCTCGAAACTGATATGGCCTATTCAGAAAGCATCTTCCCGAGGCAAGAGAGTTAACTGACTTTAAAAGTCCAGTTTCCACCCTTGCCGAACTAGGCTGGAATTCCTGGGCTTGATCATAGCGCCACCAGTGGCTATTACGAGTTATGTCCTTTCTAAGTCTCTCCTATTGACCAATACGATTCAACCTCTCGTATCACTTGCATTTGCTTCAAACAAAACGGTGGCGCCCAGTCAATACAATCTGATCGATAATCAAGATCTATATTGTGATAAAACGAGCCTTACATCGCGAAGTGCATCAAATCACGTGAGCACCTTGAATAAAAACATGAAAAGATTTAGAAAATATCTGTTGACAACGAGTTAGCGGTGCACATGCTTTGCAAATCCTGCAGTCGACTGAAATCTTCATGACACTTTACGAACCGGATTTCGATTTCGGTGCGCGATTTTGATTGGACTATGCATAGACTCGTTAGTCCACACTCCGTCGCAGTGGTGACTCAGCATAACACCACTGCCACAGGCTAATTTGCATATCACGTGACCGGACTTTTCTCTTGTTTGTAAACAAACGCGCTTTTCCCGAAATCAGTATAGAACGGACTAATGCAAGTATTTGGGGGCGCTTTACATATTGTTTTGCATAACTATATAGATATGCTACTACAACTGCGACAGTGAGTTGCATGACAATATATATTTATGCATCAAAGTGACCGTGTCGCTAGCTCTCCGTTGGGCTTCGATGACAGCACGTGGAGCCGTACAACCAATGTAAACATAGGATAACTACGCAAAAACAAGTAGATTTTTACGTATTTGCATACTTTTTCAATGAAAGTTAACCATTCTTTGACATTTGTTTATGAAAATGTGTAGACTTGTCAAACATGAAACGGATGAAAAGCATATGCAATATCTTGAATGGACTGTGAAAGATGTGACGAATCGTCACATGGCGCTGGCCTGTGGCAGAGGTACTATGCTAGCTCGCTGCCGGCCGCATGGAACTCTGGGTAGGAGAGTGTCGTTAGTCCAGCCAAAATGTAACTCCATAATACCAGCCTAGTTCGGCAAGGGTGGAAGCTGAACTTTTATAGTCAGTTAACTCATTTGCCGCGGGAAGATGTTCAGAAAGGTACCTGGGGCACATGTCTACAGTAGCCTTTGCCACAGAGGTCAGAGGGGCACCTCATACTCTGGTGTCCTCAGCCATGATAGTGCTTGAATATTGCTTGTTTGTTTGTTGTTTAACGCCACACTCAGCAATATTCCAGCTACTTGTCGTCGGTCTGTAAATTATCGAGTCTGGATCAATCCAGTGACTGACATCACGAGCATCGATCTACGCAATTGGGAAACGATGACATGTATCAACCAAGTCAGCGAGCCTGACCACCCGATCCTGTTAGTCGCCTCTTACGGCAAGCATGTCGCCTTTTACAGCATGCATGGGTTGCTGACCTATTCTACCCTGGGTCTTCAGGTGTGGAATATTGCTAAACGCGGCGTAAAACAATACAAGTTACTATACCACAATGATCATTGTTGAGTAAGTTAGTGTAAGTTCGGGTTGTATATCACACATAACAAATTGACATCAGTTAAAATAGAAGATACATGAAGATATTTAGAAAGATGCTGTTTATTACAATATAGATTAATTTAATCTACAGTATTCAAGAGATGTACTGAAGAAATCTCATCATTTTGCTGACAAAATTGCCATATACATGTTTGACTTGATATTTCGCCAAATAAGAAAAAATAATAAGACAATATCGTTTCTCATTTTCAAAAGCAGGCAGTGATGTGATATTTTGATACAATCTCTGGATAATGAAGTACAACACCCAAGAAAAGTAATTTATCATGTTTAGATCTGTTTCTGCCGGTCTTACATTCAAAGCAGAGGTGACAGGGTTTGTCTTCTGAGTATTGCTACAAAACCGACACTGGCGTGAGGTGAAGGTGAAATTGGGTTTAACGTCGCTTCCAAGATTATTGCACTTATATAGCGACGTGCATGCACGTGTATGTGTGTGTGTGGCTGCTTGTACTAGTCCGGACTGATGCCGATTTATAGTGCTAGCTCACTGAGATACCATGCCGCAGTTTAACATGAATACCCCACTCAGACACAGTATACTAACTCCGAGCCGACCAGTCCTTGTTTTAGCCCCTTAATGCCGAGCGCCAGACAGGGTAACAACAAGTACAATCTTTTAACGTCTTTTTGTATGACGCGGCCCGGGATCGAACCCTGGACCTTCCGCTCTCCGGGCGGACGCTCTACCACAAGACCATGTAGGCGGTCGACACTGGCGTGACTTAGTAACCTCGTCTGTATATGATAAATCCTTTTTGGTCTGTCTTGAACTTGTGTCTAATACTCAATGAATTGAAACCAATATCCTATTTAACTATGTGAATAATCATTATAATAATGTTCCTCATTCACTCCCCGGACAAACACCCGCAAACAAGAGAAATTTGCTAACGTTTAAGAAAAAAAAGTGAAGAAAAAAAAAGTACTTCGCTGCTTACCTCAGTCAACACAATCAGCTGAAACGGGCATGAACCATTCACCAAAACTATCATCCGAATTTCTGCAAAAATATTGCAATTGTTAAGTTTGATCCGAAACACCTAGTCTTATGGGATCCGCGCTATCCAGAACTGAGGGTAAATCATGATCAGCTGTTGCAGTCGACGTACGCCAGGACAAACACAGCCGTGGTAACCTGCTACTTCAACGACACCAATCTCATTAAAATCAGATCGAAGTTCTCGCTGCCGCTAAACAAAGCTTTGTTCAGCGCTAGCGAGAACAAAGATCTGATTTTAATGAGATTGCAACGACACCAAATGACTCCACGAGCCGAATACGCATTTCGTCGGTTGCATGAACTCGACTTTGGAAGGAGCAAAACCACTGGTGGAAAGAGAGCACTGCCGGAAATTCGTCTCGAGGTGATAAATGTTTCACAGCGTCTGTTTAAGTGAAAATTTGCTCGTGCACGTCAAGTGCCATTGATGTGGTCGGATAGCTTTTTTTTCTGCGCCACTTTGCTCCCTATGGATCCGAAATATCCGTTAACCTGCATGGATCCGAAATTAACGGCTAATGATAGTAATCATGCGGTTCCTTCAATATTTTTGTTGTAACAGCTATTGCAGTGACGCGGTTACAGTGGAAACGTAAGTTTTCTTTCATGATGAGCGAGTTGGGTTTAACGTCGCTTTGAATAATAGTATTCCAGTTATACAACGGCGTGTCAGCTTAATGTGGGAGGAAATCCCGAAGTGATGCAGGTCTTAGACGTTTGGCGAAACCCACGAGGACGGGCATGGTGCTGAGAGACCGATAAACATTATCAGAACGAACCGGGATTCGAATCCACGATCATACACATCGTTCTCATAAGTACTGCTACAAGTTATACTGTTATGAACGTAGCAGTAATTTTCTGGCGTCGAACCTTTGAACCTACCCTTATTTAAACCGTGAGTGAAATGTGAGCTTTTTTGCTCTTTAGTTTTTTTACAACCGTTTGGAACTAGAAATCATAGCTAAAGTTTAAATGCTGTAGCATTAATTTCTCCCTGGAGAAATAGACTCTTGTGTCTGGTAGTCTATTTCGCCAGTGATCCATACTAGATCAGTTGTTTCATATCACTTAATCTGGAGTTAACCGATCAAACTATTCCCGGCGAACCTCAAGGCTATTAATTATGTCGATACGTTGTACGCATGCTAATCAATATTGGTTAGAGGTATTCATGTTTTCAATGCAGATCCGAGCCACGACAAGAGATAAATGAATTAATCATAATTCCTGATGTTGGAGCAGATGAACTTGGGATCTCGGCCATAGTATGTGTAGTCACGTACATTCTGCAGGTCAACGACCGTGCACGCACTGGTGGCGCTCCGTCCCGTCAAAAGCGACGCAGAGGAGAACCACTCGTCCTCGTAGATGTCATAACACTCGACCTGTGCAGTAGTTGACGTCCCTGTGAGAACATAATATAATATAAACTGAGATATAAAATTAATAATATGTTAACTGTGGACATGTATTGTTTTGTTGTTGTTTTTTCTCCCACGCACCAATGCATTATGCGTAGAGAACTATCTATGTACGTGCTTAAATATAAGGCATTTATGAGACATCTCTTTAATGACTATTGAAACATAAACGCAATCAACTAGCATGGTATCACAAACAATTTATATGTGTATGGATAAACGAGGCTTTTGAATTATTTCGGTTATATGACAGAGTGTCAGATTATGTTGGAAGGAAAGGTGAAAGGTGAAATTGGGTTTAACGTCGCGTCCAAGATTATTGCACTTATATAGCGACGTGCATGCACGTATGTGTGTGTGTGGCTGCTTGTACTAGTCCGGACTGATGCCGATTTATAGTGCTAGCTCACTGAGATACCATGCCGCAGTTTAACATGAATACCCCACTCAAACACAGTATACTGACTCCGAGCCGACCAGTCCTTGTTTTAGCCCCTTAATGCCGGGCGCCAGACAGTGTAACAACAAGTACCATCTTTTAACGTCTTTTGGTATGACGTGGCCGGGGATCGAACCCCGAGCCTTCCGCTCTCCGGACGGACGCTCTACCTCTAGACCACGGAGGCGGTCTGGAAGGAAAGACTGTAATGAACCACACCGTAGACATTTAGTTTGTTTGTTGTTTAACGCCGCATGCTGCAGTCAGCAATATTCCAGGTATATGACGGCAGTCTGTAAATAATCGAGTCTGGACCAGATAATCCAGTGATTGATATCATGAGCATCGATCCACGCAATTGGGAAACGATGACATGTATCAACCAAGTCAGCGAGCCTGACCACCCGATCCCGTTAGTCGCCTCTTACGACAAGCATAGTGGCCTCTTTCAGCAAGCATGGGTTGCTGAAGACCTATTCTAGCTCGGATCTTCACGTGTCAGATATTTAGTACCTTGATGAAACCCAAGGGTCATAACCAAAGCGACACTAGAAAAGGGCTTAACCTACTGTACCCATGTGGAGAATCGAACCAGGCCTTCGGCGTAACGAGCGAACGCTTCAGCATCTAGGCTACCCCACTGCCCGGATTGGTAAGAATTCACACATGTGATATTTACTGTGCAAATAGCTGTGAAGCCCTGTATATAAAGATACCACTTCATTCATTATACACGTAGTTACCGTCGTAACCGCCGATAGCGAAGAGAAGGCCGTCGCAGACGGTGGCGGCGAAGTTGCTTCTTCCGATGCCCATATCGGCGACCATCACCCAGTGTGACACTCGAGGGTCGTACTTCTCAACTGGGATGACATTAAAATAAATTTGAACATATGCTGAAATACAATACTATCATCAGTACATTGCTAAAAAAATCTTTGAAGATCTAACGTTGGTTGTTTAACCCCGCACTCAATATTCAAGCTGTATGGCCGCGGCATGTAAATATACTAATTAAAATAATAATCGAGTCTGGTCCAGACAATCCAGTGATTGATAATGTGAGGAACGATCAACGCCGTCGGGGTGCGATGACACGCGAACCAAGTCACCGAGCCTGACTACCCGATCAATTGATTTGCCTCTTACGACCAGCATATAGGTTGCTGGGAACCAATTCCCCAGGGGGTGCACTGGTTGATTTACTCATTGGCTCATAAAAGACGATTATGTTATTTAAAATGAAACAAATTAAACAAATTGAACATGTTATTGTTCTTGACGCGGGCAGATTTCCTATCGTTATTCAACTCCACTTTAGAACAGGTCTTCAGCAACCCATGCTTGCCGTAAGGGCGACTTTGCTTGTCGTAAGAGGCGACTAACGGGATCGGGTGGTCAGGCTCGCCGACTTGGTTGAAACATGTCATCGCATCCCAATTGCGTGGATCGATGCTCATGATGTCAATTACTGGATTCTCTGGTCCAGACTCGATTATACACAAACCGCCGTCATATAGCTGCTCTTTTGCTGAATGAGCTGTTAAAGAAACACTCCACTTTCACTGTACACCAGTTTGAAAAGCATCGACATGTTGGGGTGCTGCGTCCCTTTTGACCCCCATTTCAAAATGCCTACCGACAATGGTTGAGATAGGTAACGTTTCCACTAACCAGAATTTGATAAACAGTTTCAAATACTTCTACTTTTTAAGCTTGCAAACTGTCATCGTCGAGGTTTTTACCTGTTTTTAGTCTGCGATTTCCACTGAATCCACCAATAGCGTAGACCGACCTCCGATACTTGACCAGCGCCACCCCGCTCCGAGGGGAGGATAGAGATTCTATGTCTGACCACTGGTCAGTGTTTGGGTCGTACATCTCCGCTGTGTCCAGACAATGTTGGCCGTTGAAGCCACCTGCCACGTACAGCTTCCCTGCAACATCAGACAGTCATCAGCAAGTATTGCCAGAAATACCTCTCAAGGAGCTGAGAATGCAGCACGATATTATGATGTCATGAGCTCAGAGCATGTATTGAATACCAAACGATCGATAACCTTCAGGCAGTATACGGATACATTTGGAAAGGTTTCATGAAAATTATACACGCCGACATAACATATTTGATCAGGCTTCTGAACATCGCAGGCATGGTGACCTATCGAAGCGTCTTAAAATCCTTTGACGTCCACGTCACAGCGCGGCCAAGATTGCTGGGGTTTTTTTCCCACCCAGGTGTCATAATTATGTTGGATCAAGGCAGAGAGAGGAAAGCTTATGTGTCCCTAATGAGAAAACAGTAAAAAATATCTTACCGCTTAGGGCAGTCGCCCCCGCGTCACTCCTGACGTGCCTCATACTTGCAGCAACCACCCATTGATTCCGTGCAGGGTTGTAATACTCCACCGAGCTGTGTCGGACGAACCCGTCAAACCCCCCACAAGCGTACACTTGACCATTTAGAGCAGCTGCGCACACGTAGCACCGTTTTGCATGCATTGGCGCAACTTCCGTCCACACCTTCAAGTGGCAATCAAATTTTCGAGTCGTGTTTAAATACTTCGTAGCCGTGTAGCCTCCTACCACATAGATGCATTGATCGAGAGTGACTAAAGCGTGGTAGGCGATGTTCTGGTCAAATGTCAACTTGACGTTGCGATACCAGCGGTCTGCACGGTCGTCGTAAGTTTCGAAGAGGCCGCAGACGCCGTCGTGGCACCAGCCGCCAAGGACGAAAATGACCTCGTGTGGAACTCTTGGACGGAGCATGGGGTTCGATGTTCCCTGGAGGAAAGGAATTCGGCATTGCTGGTTGATTTCGCACAGTTTGTAACCCTTCTTTACGAGTGCCGCACAATCTGGTGACTTTGAAATGTCCCAATTCCTGAGGAGGCAGTCCTCGAATGTCCTCACTCTCACAAGTCCAAGTCTGGTTGAGGACAAGAGACTAAAATAATGTTTTTTACGGGCCTTCTCGTCGAATTTAACCCAGTTCATAATCGCCTGAACCACTTCGTCCTCTTCGGGGAAATTTAGTTCATCCGCCTGTAGAAGCTCACACAATTCGTTTATATTCAGACTTTGAAATTCGGAGTTTCTCGAAACAATGTGTGCGATATTTCTCAAGACAAACCACCGAGATTCTTTCGCTAGATTCGGACAGTTAAAATATTGCGCCAGTCTCATTATTCCGATGCTGTTCTCGACGCACAAGCTTTCCCGCAGGAAATCACTGCAGATTTTAACAAGCCCGAACACATGAAGCCTGTCGGCAGCGCACAAGACATTCTCAATATTATTCGAGTTTAGATTTGCATGTCTAGTGTAAGCGTACCTTACAATAGCCTCCATATCTCCATGTCGAATTCCTGGAATTTCTATCGCTGCCTGACCAGATTCCTTCATTTGGGAAGTAAAGAGAGCACGAAAGTAGAGACTGCAACTCGCCATCACAGCTCTGTGAACATAGATCTTTTTTCCTTCGTCAGGAAAGTTGATCAAAACGTCACAAAATAGGCCTTGATCCCTCATGTCAGTTAGCTGGGCATGAAACTCCTTTGTGAATTCCTCCATGATTTCTGCCATAGTTGCTTCAGCTTGTACATCCTTCTGAGTTACACATGTAGAGGCCATCATGCCGTTACCACTGACGTCAACCAGGAAGTGAGAGACAAATGCGAATGACGTCATCGATAACATTCCTTAGCAACGATCACCACACAACATTAGCTGAGAAAGTCAGTCGGAACGGATCGGGCATTTACGCTAAAACTCTTCAATATGATATAATTATACTTTGATGCGACACTCATCTTTTATTGTAAGTTCATTTATCCTTGTTAGATAATGTTTGATTTATCTATAATTATAATACTGGTCAGGGATGGAAATTAGTACTAACCCGCAAGCCGGGACCAGTTTTGTTAGGTATCTCAGGGCTAAAAAGAATTTCATACATTTTGTGGGTATTGATTGCTATTTGCTGTCACTATTCCGACCAGAAGACGTTCTTGGTTAATGTCCATCCCTGTTGGGTCAAAAATACCACTTTAACCGACGCTAAATTTCCTATTCCGTTTGCTTTCGATTTTGAAAATCTTTATATTTCACCTCGACCCTGTGTAGGCCTATCGTTAAACACATACGAGGATTCGGGTCAGTTCCATCTTGATAAATTTAGGGAACTGATTTGTGAAAATATGTACAGAGAACTTAAAAGTGCAAGTGTCCTGAAAAATAGTCATAGATATTTCTTACATCATTATGGTGCCAGTGATGAACAAAACGATGGCCTAGAATTTTTTTGGTGTCAATTGTCGCGCTTATTTAAAAGTACGTAGTTTGTGTTCTGTATTTGTCACACCCTAAACGGATGTTAAAAGCGCTAACCAGGAGGCGTGTATTAATTGGCACGGCCGGCTATGCCTGCAAGCTTGATACAGAATGTACGCGATCGTTTCATTAGTTGTTGGGAGACCCGTGTTGAATATATAATACTGGTATTATAGTGAATTAAATAACATCGTAAGATATTTTCATTTTCATTCTCAGGGGCGCAGGTTCCACACACAATCACACACCCAATCACACACACAACCACACACCAAATCCGTCCCGTTAAAAGACTGAGCGGGGGCACGGGTGGCCCAGTCGTCTAAGGCGCCGCGATTCGCTGTGCAGAGTTGCGTCCCTTGGGCATGCCTGAAACCTATGATTGTGGGTTCGAATCCCGGTTCGCCCCGATTATGTTTCTAGGTTTGTCAGCACCATACCCTTGCTCGTGGGTTTCACCGAAGTGGTAAACGTCTAAGACCTGCATCAATTCGGGCTTTCCTCCCACATTAAGCTGACACACCGCGATATAACTGTTATACTGTTAAAAGCGGCGTTAAACTCAACTCACTCACTCACTCACTCACTAAAAGATTGATCTTTGTAGCCAATAAGCGATAGTTAACTAGAACGGTATATTCTCACCTACAGTCACTCATCTCACAAAAAAACATGTAACTGCAGTAGATTATTTCATAATGTATGCCAGCAGTCAGTCCAGGTGGCATAAAACACTCGCCCATTGTATAATGTAATGTTACACGTTAGCAAGTGACACGGATTCGCGAACAGCTGGTGTCATCACTGATTTTCAGTGGTTCATTCATATTATTTCCACGCCTATTTGCCCTTTACGCCAAGTGGAATCTGTTTCGGCAGAAAATCTAGGCTGGTTATTCTCTTTCATTGACAATTTATATTTCCTACGCCCCCATTCGAATGACCAGCAGTGGGGTAGCCTAGTGGTTTAAGCGTTCGCTCGTCACACCGAAGGCCCGGGTTGGATTCGCCACATGGGTACAATGTGTGAGGCCTATTTCTTGTGTTCCCAGCCGTAATATTGCTGAAATATTGCTAAAAGCGGCGTAAAACCCTACTCACTCGCACTGTACCTCTGTCGATTCAGTATGACATGGTTGGCCTGATCCGGGTCCGCTGACTGTGCTGGCTTCAACATGATGATCACTGTCAGCGCCAAGCAGCACCTCAGCACTCCAACATACTATTTATTTTTCAGAACATCAAGCATGTCCAATGAACGATTTTTTTGGTAAAATCCAAAGAATTTGTTTTTTTTCCAGCATAGTCGACCAGCAATATTTTGTAAACTAAATGAAGCGTCCCGGCCCTTTTGATACGCTGGATGCCGCGCCCTGCTCAGTACGCTGGATGCCGAGCCCTGCTCAGTACGCTGGATGCCGCGCCCTGCTCAGTACGCTGGATGCCGCGTCCTGCTCAGTACGCTGGATGCCGAGCCCTGCTCAGTACGCTGGATGCCGCGCCCTGCTCAGTACGCTGGATTCCGCGCCCTGCTCAGTACGCTGGATGCCATGAATGCTATCTGGTACACGGATGCCAATATTTCAATGTTTATATTTTCATCCTTTCAAAAAGTGACAAATCAATAAAATACTCAGCGCAAAGCTTATGAGCACGTATGTCATGCACACTAATCTATGTGAAAATTGGTCTAATTGACCAATTTTCTGTCAACACTCATATGACTCAGGAGTTCTGGAATTACAAATACTGGATGCCAACACAAATTAAGTGGTAGCGCGTGTTTGTGTAATTTGAATCCCTTTCTCCCCCTTTGGAATATCAAAAGCTCGACCCTATAACACCTTCGCTGCAAGCATTGAAAAAAATAACACAACTCACATCTGTAACAGAATTAACTTTAATATATAAACCATCTGGTGTCCATGCAGTTAAATATTATACAATAGATTCCAACTGTTCAATATTCATTTTTTAAATTAACTTTTAATAAGCATTTATCATTATGAATAAAACATTTAAGATTTTTTTTATGTTCATATATACACCAAACACAAACTACCGTAGCTACTACTAATGTGTTCATTAATTAAATTAAACTTAAATTATGCTTCACAATTTTGAATTCTGTAAATTGAGCTAAATTGTATTCTGATGTATTGCGAGTGAGATAATACAAGAACGGTATTTACATGCTTATAAGTCAAGGACAGAAGTTGGTTGTATAGCATTGTGCGGACAGTGAACACAGTGTGTTTACCACAACAAATATAAGTACTGTACAACTTCAATGGACGGTTTACGGTAATAATTATCCCTTTTCCCACAGGTATGAAACATTTTTTTAAAACACTTTGGCATAAACATCATGATATTAATAACAAATAAAGATGAAATATGGACGGTGGGAGAATAGGACGGTTAAGAAATCACAGTCAGTTAACCAGCAGATTATGCAAATGTAAATTTGCAGAATACCGTAAAATACTCCAAGTAAATAATACCCTTGTGTGAGTCATGCACAAGCGTGCAGAGATTGAAAATATTTTTATTGGGTCACGGTAAATGTGAAAAAATAAAAACCCAAACCCGAGTGAAATTATCTAACGTTCTTGAATGGTTTTTGTGGGGAGTGCAAAAAAATGTTTCTTAGGAAACATATTTAAGGGATTTAATACACAAGACAGCGGGTCACGAGAGGAAAGGACCTTTGTTTTGACAACAGATATAATCGTTGTTTCAAATACAAAGACTACACTGTAGGGTAGTTTTCTAAACACCAATCTATTTAGCAATCTGAATCATTTCAATCGGGCTTCTTTAACAATACTGTCGAACGGAAAACGGACAGACTAAATAATTAGGAAATATAAATGGAGTTCGTGTATGTGAAAATTGGGATTGTACCCGCACACAATGACAACTGTTTAAAATCTTGTTATATCTTATGTTATGTGTAAAAGAAAATATGAAAAATAGTTTCGTATCAAAATATACACAGTACAGGTTGTCATCGTTTTACGGTTGTCAGCAGCAGTCTTTGTAAAGCAGTTTTAACCACATTTGCTTTCTTGCTTTGCCAAGCGAAAAGATTTAATATATTTTTGCCAAGGTTGATTTGACGTGAATATTCCCAAAAATCTAAGGGCTGCATAATAAAAATGTTATTTTCAATAAGTTAGACATTATGTTTATTTTTCAACAAGCCAAGAGACACCAATAAAGTAAATCAAGAAATGGTTGATTTTGTGCTATTTTAGAAAAGAAAAGATTATCTTTGTAATAAAACAATCAAATGATGTTAAAATAATACAAGAAATTGGTCTTACTTAGTAAAAAAATGAAAATTTAAGGATTTCATTATTTGATCACTGCATAGATGCGACGGCCAACGTGTACTTGTTTGTGCTCAGATAAGAAGGAAAATGTGCAAGAGGTGACAATATCCCAAGTTTTTAACAATCACAAAACAATCATATAACCGTCAAATAATCTTAAATGTCAACATCTTCAACCCTTCTCCTGTTCCTGTTACTTCCGGGTGTAAAATACACGTGTTCATAACAGCTTGTCAATAACTATACATATGGATAACAACTTGTCAATCACCATCACAATGTCTTTGTTGATACGAACAATACAGATTTATTTCCCGCAGCAGCTGGCCCAGTTGAATTTCACATCCCACCCGCCGCCATTATTTTTGTGGATACCTTGAGCCGTAGCTGAAACAGAAGAAAAATGTATAAACACCTGGATATTTAAACGTTTGAAGTAGAAATTGTTATTTAAACTCGGTTTTATATATTAACATAAACGCGCGTGTGAAGCTGCTTGTACCAGTTCGGGCTAATGCCGGTTTTATAGTGTTAGCACTATGATCAGGATATATCATTCCGCGATTGTAACGTGGATGTCCCACTCAGACACTACCGTATTTCCTCTAATAGACGCCGGCCTCTAATAGAAGCCGTGTCAATTGTTCAGTGCAAAAAATAGAAGCCGGGCCTCTAATAGACGCCGGGTCGAGTATTGATTGCGATTAGCTACGGATTTCTACGAACACAAAATATTTCCATTTCGTGACGATTCGGGACATTCGTGGTCTTAGTGAAATGGGGGTATTAATAGAAGCCGGGCCCCCAATAGACGCCGGGTCAAAGGCTTGTCCGCTATAAATAGAAGCCCGGGCGTCTAATAGAGGAAATACGGTATACTGACTCCGAGCCGACCATGATGTAACAAAATGTTGCACAATATTTCTGGAAACACTATATTTAACCCTCATGGTGCTTGTTAGCCGCCTTCGGTACCGCTCATCGCCGCACTGTGATGACGTCGCGATATCAGAAACGATATAAAAAGTATAAAAAGTGTTACAACGTTCTTATTTCTGCACACAGTGTAACCATATTGTATAACATTCATCTATCTAGAGTTGATTGCCTTCCCCAAGCCGTCGGTTTCTGTTGTTGTTGTTTACGCCGCACGGTGGTATCTTGTACAATCACAGCATGTTACACGTGATATGCAAGTTAGCCTGTGGCAGTGGTGTTATGCTAAGTCACCAACTGCGCCGGAGTGTGCGGTTGTCAGTGAAGCAACATGAGGTCATTTGTTGAGAACAATACGGTATGACGGTTCTATTGTACATGACGTCACAATTAATAACGTTACGTCATTATCACACATAGGGGCCACACTCCGTCGCAGTTGGTGACCTAGCATAACGCCACTGCCACTGTCACCGGACCTTTCTCTTGTTTGTAAACAAACGCGCTTTTTTTCAGAAATCAGAATAGAACGGACTTATGCAAGTATTTGGCAGCGCTTTACATATTTATTTGCATAATTATATAGATATGCTACTACAACTGCGACAGTGAGTTGCATGACAATACATATTTACTAGCTTACTAGCTCTTCGTGGGGTTTCCATGACAGCACGCGGAGCCGTACAACCAATGTAAACATAGGATAACTACGCAAATAGTTTTTCACGATTTAGGACATTCTCTCAATGGAACTTAACTATTCTATGAAATATGTTTATGTAGATGTGTAGACTTGTCAAAAATGAAACATATGAAAAATATAAGCAATATCTTGAATGGCGCTGGTCTGTGGCAGCTAGAGGTACTATACTGGTCGCATGGAACTCTTGGTAGGAGAGTGACATAGGGGCGGGTTGCATGCAAGCCACGAATCGCTTTGAGCCTATTTCCCCAAGTTGCTCCAGTCAAGAATTTCTTGTTCCGCTGACAAACTCAGCTGCCATTTTGGTTTGAGAACAGCGATTGTTGCGATTGCAATAGCGCTCCGTTGTAAGGCGAATCGCTGTACATCGCTTGCAAACGAATGACGCTTTGCAACGCACCCCAGTGACATTCGTCGCCACTCGCCCCTTTCCGTACCTGCAAGAAGAACTTGGTATCGGCTTGTCCCAGAATAACACGAGTTGGTCACGAATGAGTGAATGAGTGAGTTGGGTTTCACGCCGATTTTAACAGTATTCCAGTTATATCACGGCGTGTCAGCTTAATGTGGGAGGAAAGCCCAAACTGATGCAAGTCTCAGACGTTTACTCCTACGGTGAAACCCACGAGCACAGGTATGGTGCTGACAAACCTAGAAACATAATCGGGACGAACCCGGATTCGAACCCACAATCATAGGTTCCTGGCGTGCCCAAGGGACGCAACTCTGCACAGAGAATCGGGGCGCCTTAGACGATTGGGCCACCCGTGTCCCCTACGAATGAGACCAGTGGCATTTTCCAGTCTGTCAGCCTAATGAAGGTGACAGGTCTACCAGAGATACAACAAGATCGTTCTTGTTTCATCGGAAAGCTTGGAATCTAAGTTTTCTGAAACCAATATTGCCAGACATAACTGTCAGGCAATACATCTATTAGAATTAGTGTCCATGGTAACCATGCTTTTTGGAAAGGGGTCTACTACTACGTATAAATGGAAAAATCTGTACTATGAATGGATATCTTATCACTTTTGTGAAAGTGTGCGTTCCTCTTAGCACTGCTCATTCATCCATGTACCGAAAAACAAGGTCAAGGTCAAAAGTCAAGGTCAATCTTACATGAAATTTACTTGTTTTATCTCGCATAATTCTTAACTGCTGAGTACATTTAAGTACAGCACCGTGTACTTGGCATCATAGAATTTACTTTCTGAAAAAATAGGTTACATGAGGGTAAATGTTAGGACACATGCCTCTTTGGGCTTTTCCATGGGTACCAGGCATTTTCAACTGTTGCACAAAAATGCTTTTATGTCATTTATGTCCATTCTCCAACTAAATATTACTTTTGGGGCGTCTAAATATGGCTTTGGAAAACTAGATATTCCAAGTTCCCAACCACATCAGATACACCTACAGCAGATATATTCCACATCTTGACACCAGAAACCACTGGTCTAACAGTGAAGACTATTTCGTAAGTTGACACATCATACAATTTGGCTTCATTTCTTAAACTAACGATTGATTATAGTTTAGAGAATAAATTAGTTCGGTAATGTATCATCAAAGCAGATGGAAGTGCTCTATTACCTCCCCAGACCCCGTCGGTGAAGGAAGCGTCGGGATTGGCAGCTTGCAGGGCGGCGTTCTCCTCCCACTTCACTTTCTTAGGTGCCTTGAACGTGGCTTCAGCTTTAGCAGTGTCGAACTTCTCTTGGCGGATAGAAGCCCACGAGTCGCCGTTATCATCGCTGCTCATGTACGTCACGCCGTCGTTGCCGAGAGCGTAGACTTCCCCTTTGTTGGGGTCGTGTCCGATCATACAGCCGAGACGTTCATCCAAGCCTGAGTGAATAGGAGATAGGATTTTACTTTTATTTTGCTTCTTTGTTATTGTCCCACCCAGAAATATTCCAGCTATGTGACGTCCAGTGAATAACCATGTGAGGGCCAGATAAACTAGAGATCGATAGTGTGAGCAACGATCCACGTCGTCGGGGTCGGACGGGGCGGTGTCCCCGAACCTGACCACCCGTTGCGTTTTAGTGGCCTTTATGGCCAGCATAGGTTGCTGGGGACCTATTCTAACCCGGAATCTCACGGGGTAAATTAAATATTCTATGCATTTTACTTTCATTCAAAGTAATTAACAAATGGAGTTAAAGAATTACTGACACCACGTTTTTGCCCATTAAATGTACCTTATATTTTAACTGTTCCTTCGTACTTAAAGAACCATTTTAACAAACGTGTGACAATTTCATTGCAATGAGTCTTAGCATGGGGCGCTTAAAAGTGTTTTTACAGATTTTTCTAGAACTTGGTCGGGTCGCTCAATACGACGAATACGGTATCTCACGGCCCTCATATCTTTTATGGGTGAGTTGATACGTACGTTTCCATGTGTCTCCGTCGGCCGTTTTGTAGCAAGCCTGCTTCAGTCCGCTGAAAGTATACAGTTGGTGGGGTAGGGTGACGTTCAAGATAAGTGTGTGTGTGTGTGTGTGTGTGTGTGTGTGTGTGTGTGTGTCTGCTTGTGCTCATTCGGACTAATGCTGGTCTCATGCCGCAGATTAACATGGATACCCGACTCAGACCTAAAATAATGACTCCGAGCCGATCAGTCCTTGTCTTATCCCCTTAGACCGACAGGCAGGGTAACAACAAGTATAATCTTTTAACAGCCTTTCGGTATGAAGCGGCGGGGGATCAAGCCCCGAATTTCCTTTCTCCATCGGCACCGGAGGCTGTCAACATGATGGGTATAGACAGACAATTATAACCGTCCTTTTCACATCTTAGATATTACTGCATGAGTTGCTGTCTGGTACCATTTATCTTACAGTGCGTGTTTCAAAACGTATCTAACGAGCGAAAGCGCTGGGTCTTGGGAGAAAGAAACCAAGTTGTTAGATACACGGAATATGACTGGTACGAGTGCGGTAATCAGTTTACACACCCTAAAATCGCTTCATTTTAGCATTGAATCGATGCACAGTTGGTCTATTCTCATAATTGCAATTGGCGCATTAATAATATAACGGTCATGAGACGTCATTCGGCTTACTGCCTTGTGAAACCCGCCACAAAAATGTTTCCGCTATTTCTGTTGATTATCAAGGCGATGATGATAATGCAAACTAGATAAGATCAAAAAACATTTTTTTAGCAATCTTAAACCATAAAGTTTCGATACACAGGTAGGTGAATTTGAGTAAGGAACGTGAAACTTATCAAGGAATTACATTCATGAAAGTAGTCCGTCATAATCTGACCTAAGGTCATCACCATGGAAAATGGAATATAATCTCACGCATGTTTGAGATATCTTATCTCTATTGGGTTTCTCACGAACAAGCGTGTAAGAAGCGGATATTCTTGATGCATAAGATGCATCTCTTATGGAAACAGCAGATAAAAAAACACCCAACTCACTCATCGACAGCGGCGTCGCACACGAAGAGGTTGCTGCCGTCGTGTAGGAAGCCGCTCCTGTGCCATTCTGAGGAAGGATAAGTACTTCATTAGATATTAATTGAATTATTTATTATTCTGGTACGTAATATCGAACACTTGAACGTCATATCTACTGTTAAAATCTAGAACGTAGATAACTTGGAGAGTAAGACAAAACTGTGGGCGGTGGAGTAGCCTAGTGGTTAAAGCTTTCGCTCGTCACGTCAAAGCCCCGGGGTCGATATTGCTGGAATAATACTAAAAGCGGCGTAAAACTATCCTCACTCACTCACTCACTCAAGAGACACACGTCTCGTAAACGTAACACCCAAGTATCTGTAGCAGGGTACACAATTAAATTCCTTTCTAAAACAATGTCTTTCTTCTTGACAAAACGCCACATCAGTTTTATCAAAGTTGATATCTAAACAACTTTTCCAACATCAACACTTTTCCGTAGTCCTCGTATGTTATCAGAAATGAAAATAATATCGTCTACAAACAATAAACAACTGTGTTATATCAGGGTGAGGTCATATATGTTTGCTGTGTTGTTGTTGTTTTTGGGGTTTTTTAAAAACGGCACTCTCAGTATCGATCTACGCAATTGGGATACGATGACATGCATTTACCATATCAACAAGCCTGACCAACCAATCCCGTTAGCTGCATGCCTCTTTCAGTCATGAATAAAACAATTGAAAACAATATTGGGCTTAGCACACAACCCTGGCGCTGTATAAAAAGACTGAACAGAGCAGATACCTGTGTTGCTGATGATCGTTTCATAGACGCCTTTGCTCGGGTCAGTGGATGCGACGTCGTTGGTTGTAAGACAGCCCATAAGGTCGAAGGTCACGCCCAACTTTTTCGTGGAGTCGCTGTCATCGAGGATGTAGATTCTGATATAACGGGACTCCACGGAGTCTCCCACCACCACCTCGGACGGCACTGCTGCGACAGCGATCTGCTCGGAGAGGAAATTGATAAGCGTTTTTTTTTTTTTTAAAAGAAACAGTCAAAATGAAGTATGAACAGAGATTACTCGTTTGATGCATGAAAGTACCCAAGTCCCTTTGTCATTGCAGTGCTATCGACCACGGCTCCATATGGCCAAGGTTAGATATATACCATCTTCCCGAGGCAAGGGAGTTAACTGACTATTAAAGTCCAGTTTCCAGCCTTACCGAACTAGGCTGGTATTAATGCGTTACATTTTGGCTGGAGTAACGAGTCTATGCATAGTCCAATCAAAATCGCGCACCGAAATCGAAATCCGGTTCGTAAAGTGTCATGCAGATTTCGGTCAATAACAGGATTTGCAAAGCATGTGCACTCGTTGTCAACAGATATTTTCCAAAGCTTTTCTGGTTTTTAATCAAGGTGCTCACGTGATTTGATGCATTTCGCGATGTAAGACCCGTTTTATTACAACATAGATCTTGATTATCGATCAGCTCGTCCTGACTTGGCGCCACCATTTTGTGTGAAGCAAACGGCAGTGATACGAGAGGTGGGATCTGATTGGTCCTTTGGAGAGGCTTAGATGGGGCATAACTGGTAATAGCCACTGGTGGCGCTGGAGTTTTAAAGTCAGTTAACTCTCTTCCCTCGGGAAGATGGGTATTTACAGGTCACTGTGAGACAGCTGGAATATTGCCAACACACACATATCTATTCATGATTGACTTAGGTACACTGTGGCAGGCCCAGTGTTGATGTCCCCGTGGTCACATGGCTGGAATATTGCTAACACACACATATCTATTCATGATTGACTTAGGTATAGTGTGGCAGGCCCAGTGTTGATGTCCCTGTGGTCACATGGCTGGAATATTGCCAACACACACATATCTATTCATGATTGACTTAGGTATAGTGTGGCAGGCCCAGTATTGATGTCCAGTCGTCACATGGCTGGAATATTGCCAACACACACACATATCTATTCATGACTGACTTAGGTATAGTGTGGCAGGCCCAGTGTTGATGTCCCTGTGGGCACATGGCTGGAATATTGCCAACACACACATGTCTATTCATGATTGACTTAGGTATAGTGTGGCAGGCCCAGTATTGATGTCCCTGTGGTCACATGGCTGGAATATTGCCAACACACACATATCTATTCATGATTGACTTAGGTATAGTGTGGCAGGCCCAGTATTGATGTCCCTGTGGTTACATGGCTGGAATATTGCCAACACACACATATCTCTTCATGATTGACCTAGGTACACTGTGGCAGGCCCAGTATTTGTGTCTCCGTGGTCACATGGCTGGAATATTGCTGACACGAACATGTCTATTCATGATTGACTAATGGACACCGTGTGGCAGGCCAAGTATTGATGTCCAGTCGTCAAATGGCTGGAATATTGCTGACACACACGTCTAAGCGAAACGAAGTTTTGGCGCGAATAAGTACAGAGTATTTATATACACAAAAAGGAGATATAATACCCTGAATACACGAGGATGTATTCAGCGTGATATTAGGTACGAAACGCTCCCTTGTAATGAACGCTCACCTCGGCGCCTTCAATCCATGCGTAGCCGTCATTGCTGAAGGCGGGTTTGATCTTGGTGACTACTGACCCGAAGCCGGCCCCGCTTCCCGCCTCAACTTTGATTTTCTGAACGGACGCCTTGTTGCCGAGGTACACTTGGAAGTATCGCTGTTCCTTCAGAGTGCCGGTGCGTACAAAGGGAGAGAAGCCTGCAAGTGTCAAAGATCATACGTGAGTTAGTCAGTGTTTCGGCGTGTCAGTATGATGTTGGTTGGTTGGTTTGTTGTTAAACGCCGCACTCAGCAATATTCCAGCTATATGACGGCGGTCTGTATATGATCGAGTCTGGACCAGACAATCCAGTGATTAAATCAGCTTGATGTTGGATGAAACACGAAGTGAGTCAGGTCTTAGAATTTAAATTAATTTGATAATACCCATTATTATGGGTCTGGTTCACACACACCTGTAAACACAATCAGCGCGAACCTGAGATTCGACACCACAATCATAGATTTCTGGTACGCCTAAGGATGATGTCTATTATGATTCTACAGTGCTTCACTTCAAAACTGGGGCGGTCGGGTAGCCTAGTGGTTAAAGCGTTCGCTCGTCACGCCGAAGACCCGGGTTCGATTCCCGACATGCGTACAATGTGTGAAGCCCATTTCTGGTGTCCCCCGCCGTGATATTGCTGGAATATTGCTAAAAGCGGCGTAAAACCAAACTCACTCACACTGACTCACTTCAAAACTTCCGGTTTGTTTGATTGAATGTGCTTTTTACGGGTGTGTTTTAGTCCAGACATAATATTACAACGTTTATAAAATAGTAGAGTGTTTGACTTTGTCAAATACACTTAAAATCATGTATCCGTTACCATTTACAGAAGTATTTTAGCAACTATAGAGCCCCTCTCCGCACTGTTGTTTGTAGTTTGACGCTGAATATTCCAGCTAAATGACGCGGTCTGTAAGTTTAATCTAGTTTGGACCAGACAATCCAGTGATTGCCATCATGAGCATATTTATATGTGTGAGTGAGTGAGTATGATTTTACGACACTTTTTGCAATATTCCAGCAATATCGCGGCGGGGGACACCAGAAATGGGCTTCACACATTGTACCCATGTCGGGAATGTCAGCGTGACGAGCGAACGCTTTAACCACTAGGCTACTCGACCGCCCCTCTTTATATGCAATTGGGATACGATGACATGCATCAACCAATCTGCGAGTCTAACCACCCGATCACGTTAGTCGCCTCTTACGACAAGCATAGTCGCCTCTTACGACAAGCATAGTCGCCTCTTACGACAAGCATAGTCGCCTCTTCACCGGAGGAGCACCTCTATTGAATTAACCCGGCAATTTCTTTGAGTACGTGAGTGATTTTAGTTTAACGCCGCTTTGAGCGTTATTTCTGTTTTACCACGGCGTCAGCTTGATGTAGGAGGGAAGCCACAAATGATACAATTTTTTTACATATACCACTGTCGATGAAACCCACCAACGCCGGTATGGTGCGGACAAACCGCCAAATCATAATCAGGGCCCCGTTCAACAAATAGATCTTAGGGCTAAGGTGATTGAAGTCCCATACTTTAACATAGGCTTACGATAGTCGTAGTGCTGAGATTTTTTGGAACACGGTCCAGAACAAATATAATCATGTATTGGAACCCACGATCTGGCACACCCAAGGGACGCAACTCTGCACAGGCTTGGCCACCCGCGCCCCCGTGGAAATCCGTGTAGCATGGAGGACAATCGCATTACAGTTATACAGGCAAACTCACTCACTCACTCACTCATTGTTACAGCAAGTGTGTGCTTGGGTAGAGAGCAGACAATACAAACTGGACTAATTAAGTGTACTACTGACACTAAATACAACCGTGAGTTTGGTCGACTTTATGGATGTGAACTTCTTTATTTACTTTCTCCCTTATTAAGTTTCCACCTTTGTTTTCTTATTTCTTTTGTTTTTGTTTTACATATACAGTAAACTACGGTAATAACGAACTCAAAGGGACCACTAATTTTAGTTCGTTATATCCGTCAGTTCGTTATAAGCCTGTTCGTTATAAACGTAGTTAACTGTGCATATCTATGCTCTCTGTATCCTTGCATTCATTGACCTGATGAAGGAGTAAGCATACTCTCTCTCTCTCTCTCTCTCTCTCTCTCTCTCTCTCTCTCTCTCTCGTCTAGCGGCAGCTGAAATAATTGCTGAAAAAATGCATTACTTCAAAGCTGCGATTGGGTGATCATTCAAGTTATGAACCTGGGCGGTGGGGTAGCCTAGTGGTTAAACCGTGTTCCATTCCCCACATGATTTCAATATGTGAAGCTCATTTCTTGTGTCCCCCCGTCGTGATGTTGGAGAATTATTGGCCAAAGCGGCGTAAAACCACACTCGCTAACATGTATGTTTAACCCGAGGTCAAAGAGATACCGGGATAAAAATGGGACCAAAGAAGTCCCAGGCTAAAAAACCAACAACACTTTTCGGACTTTGCCCTACCTGTTCCACCAATGCGCCCGTTGACGGGTTCACCCCCGGTGTAGTGGTCAGGTGAACCGGAGATGCGGCCGTCAAGGATGCCGCTTCCAGTCAGCAGAGATGTCACGGCACAGGCGGTGACTGAAACATACAACGTTTTGTATTAATGATACAACATACAATAAACTAAGTAAGTCTTCCTGATTACCTAAACTGAGAGGCAAAACAAAGTATACCGAGTTTGTTTTTGACGTAATGGAAAGATAAAAGAGCAGCTGTTAAATTTGATTATGCCTATTTCACCATCACGTATTACTTTGTAAGAAGTAATCAGTGGCTGGGTAATTCTGTGTCAAAATAAATTGGTTCGATGAAGACTAGTGTGTGTGTGTGTGTGGGGGGGGGGGGGGGGGGGGATGAATACAAGGGGTCGTTACAAATTGATTTCCCACCCATTCCGGGGTAAAATAGGTCTTCAGCAACCCGTGCTTGCTGTAAAAGGCGACTATGCTGGTTGTAAAAGGCGACTCACGGGATCGGGTGGTCAGACTCGATGACTTGGTTGATACATGTCATCGTATCCCAATTGCGTGGATCAATGCACATGGTATCAATCACTGGATTGTCTGGTCCAGACTCGATTATGTACAGGTCGCTGTCATATAGCTGGAATATTGCTGTGTGCGACGTTAAACAAACAAACAAACAAATCACACATATGGCCAAAAACGTGAACATGTATTCTAGTTACCAGTTTTCTGTACTACAGTCACGGTGTGGTTGACGTAGTTCATGTTGCAGGAGAAGTCCACTTGGTTGCCGTAGGTGCTGACCTGGCGCAGGTGCGTCTTGGCCGCCGTGGCTAGTGTGATGACGGTGTCTAGACCCTGGACAGTGGTGGGCACCTTGTAGGTGGGATGTTGCTGTAGCGTGGCGGTGAAGGCGAGGACGTCGGAGAAGTAGAAGGACCCGCACTAAAGTAGAACAAATGGATTTATCATCCAAAGCTGGCTCCCACAGGAGATAGCGCTTGGGTGAGATCATGCGATATCTACATTGTATATTGCTGCAGTGAAATTGCATCACAGTTCTTTGCATACCATTGTGACGCCACTGGTTACATCACGTCACAATCAAATGAAATCACTAAAGGCTGTTAGCAGTACTTTTTTTACACTTAAGACACTGTTTACAAACTGAAAAAAGTTGGAAGAATGATGTTGGATGATAAATAAAATCTCGCCCTCGTTGCTTTTGATATCAAATATATCACACTCGTTGATAAAAGTGGAAACAACTTTTATCAACTTGTATTTATATTTGATATCCAAAGACACTCGGGTGAGATTCTATATATCGTGTTCTAATTGAGGGAGTGACGCTTAAGAGAATATTGCAGATCTGGACCGATCATTTGATATTCTGAGGAGGACGGGTCGGAGGACGGGTCGGAGGACGGATGTCCCCCTCTCATTCTCTCTGTCCCCCAATGTTAATAGCCGATCTTTTACAAGACTGCTTGACAGCATGAGTCATCTTCTCGAGGCAATTGAGTTAACTGACTTTAAAAGTCCATTTTCCACCCTTGCCGAACTAGGCTGGTATTATGGAGTTACACTTTGGCTGGACTAACGAGTCTATGCATAATCCAATCAAAATCGCGTAATGAAATCGAAATCCGGTTCGTAAACTGTCGTGCAGATTTCGGTCGATTGCAGGATTTGCAAAGCATGTGTACCGTCAACTGGGTGTCAACAGATACTTTCCAAATCTTTTCATGTTTTTAATCAAGGTACTCACGTGATTTGATGACCTTTGCGATGTAAGACCCGTTTTATCACAATATAGATCTTGATTATTGATCAGATCGTCTTGGCTGGGCACGCCTTTTTGTGTGAAGCAAATGCAAGTGATACAAGGGGCGTAATCTGATTGGTCAATAGGAGAGGCATAGAAGGAACACAACTCGTAATAACCTCTGTTGGCGCTACGATCAAACCCAAAAATTCCAGCCTAATTCGGCAAGGGTGGAAACTGGACTTTTACAGTCAGTTCACTCCCTAGCCTCAGGAAGATGGCATCATGTGTGAGGAAGCCCTAAATGACGCAGTTGTAAACCTGTAAAGTTTGTGTGACACCTTTATTTACTGGATCATTGACTAAGATGCCAGCACAAGTGACCCCCTACCTCAAGTTTCATCATGTAATCGTCGTGTGTCTCGACGCAGTCGATTCTGCTGTCGTTGACATTGGTGAGGGAGTTGAACTGCAGGAACGGGGGGAACAGTAGTAACGCCGTCATGTTGATGCTCTCTGCAGTCGACTCATTGGAGTGTCGCAACAGGCCGTTGATGACAACTTGAGTACTGGAACATATATCAGTGAGTGAGTGAGTGAGTTGGGTTTAACGCCGCTTTAACCAGTATTCCAGTGATACCATGCCATGTCAGCTATGTGTGGGAGGAAAGCCGGAAGAAATACAGGACTCAGGTGTTTACCACTTTCGTTAAACCAACGAGCACAGTTGTTGTACTGACAAAGCAGGAAACATAATGGCGGCGAACCAGGATTCGAACCCACACAATGGCTGTGAACCTACTGTTCGTGTGATGCACACTGTGAGTAAACCTGATTGCTGTTCGTGTGATGCACACTGTGAGTAAACCTACTGTTCATGTGATGCACGCTGTGAGTAAACCTACTGTTCGTTTGATGCACACTGTGAGTAAACATGCTGTTTGTATGATGCTCACTGTGAGTAAACCTATTGTTCGTGTGACGCACACTGTGAGTAAACCTACTGTTCGTGTGATGAACACTGTGAGTAAACCTGATTGCTGTTCGTGTGATGCACACTGTGAGTAAACCTACTGTTCGTGTGATGCACACTGTGAGTAAACCTGATTGCTGTTCGTGTGATGCACACTGTGAGTAAACCTACTGTTCGTGTGACGCACACTGTGAGTAAACATGCTGTTTGTATGATGCTCACTGTGAGTAAACCTATTGTTCGTGTGACGCACACTGTGAGTAAACCCACTATTCGTGTGATGAACACTGTGAGTAAACCTGCTTGCTGTTCGTGTGATGCACACTGTGAGTAAATCTACTGTTCTTGTGATGCACACTGTGAGTAAACCTACCTTTAGTGCGACGTATAATGTATAAAAGTATATTGTGTGTGACATGTACATGTACTGATGTGTGTGCTTAAACTTTATGCGTGTTTGGTATAATCCGTGTGTAGGCCAGTGTGACGTACATCATGCATGATCATATACTATACATGTAAATATAACATATACTATACATATACATATACATACAGATGTAACTTATGAGTAGATGCTGCATATGTGTAACATATGTCAATTTCATTTGTTTGTTTCCGTGTGAGTATTTATTATTCAGAGAATTATTCGTGTTTAGGGCCGAGTCAGCCGTCATTTGTTTGTTTCCGTTTGGCATGTGCAAACATCATATGCGATCTGCATCATAGTCAGTCAGTCAGAGAGTGTTGTTTTACGCCGCCTTAACAATATTCCAGCAATATCACACCCATAAGGGGCTTAACACATTGTACCCATGTGGAAATCACTAGCCTACCTCATCGCCCCTATGCAATTTATGCATGCACAACAAGTGAACGTTCATTGTGCATAGTTTACTCTATTTGTGATAGGACTCAGTTCCAGCAGCCATTATTCAAGTAACAATATGTCTGGTAATTAACTGTACAGATTGCGTAGTCCAATCTCATTAAAATCAGATCTTAGTTCTCGCTGCCGCTAAACAAAGATCTGAGGACATCCTATTAAGGGTCTCGTCTGAACGACCTTTCACGAACTTTGACCGACCACGGAAATGACTGACAAGAAGTCGATATCAGCCGATTAGAAAGCAGCTTTCTCGAGCTTTACGGCACTCGTTTCAATCTGGTGACTTCCATTTGAGACTACGCTTGAAAAATATGTTGACAGAGTTCTCGATTAAAATTTTGAAAACTGAACAAACGAATATTCCGGAATGTCTAATATATGGTTGAGATTGTATGGCAGTGCTTCCCACGTACTGTGCAACGCCTCCTCCGTTCAAATGTTTATCCCACGGAAGCGAGAGATAGACGATAATTTTGACGGAATCAGTCGCCCGGGCCGTAACTGTCGTTCGGAATACCCCGTGTTAACATTTTCGAGGTTGCATGATCAGAAACACATTCCGACTGTCACTTTCATGATCTGGTAAGCGACGCTTTGATTGGTCGGATGAAAGTTCGTTCTCACGTGACCCGTAATGGGATGTCCTCAGATCTTTGTTTCGCGATAGTGAGAACTAAGATCTGATATTAATGAGATTGTGCGTACTCAAACACACCAACCAGGTAACGTGTTATTGATAATGTGACTCACGTGGTAGAGCCAGAATTATCCACTTCTCCGGTGAACTCAATGCATGGTTTCTCAGTCCCGTCTCTCATTGTCACCACCTTGTGTTCCAGGATAACAATGTATATCCCTATCTTCACACCCAGGCTGATCCAGTGATCGGAATTATTCGTGTTTAGAGCCGAGTCAGCCATAACGAGAGTCAGTTCGAGGCTGATGACGTCATCGTCATATTGCTGATTGTCAATGCGATGAGTCGAACCTGCAATAACAAATACAATTAACAACGGATATAACTTATAACTTAGAGACATGATTGGAGCGAACCTTGATTCGAACCCATTTCATAGACCTCTGGCGTTCCCAAGGGACGTTGACATCACGAGCAACGATCTACGCGGTTTGGATACATGTACGATGACGTGCATCAACCAAGTCAGCGAGTCTGGCCTCCCGATCCTGTTAGTCGCCTTTTACGACAAGCAAGCATGGGTTGCTGAAGACCTATTCTACCCTGAATGTTCAATTAGCTGCCCCACAGAGTGTACCGAAACTCACCCGTGTTAGTTACGATGCCCATATCAACGTAGATTTTATTTATCTGCGACGTGTTGTAAGTAGATTTCTCGGTGATCGTCAGTTCATCAGAGTAACCATATCCGGCTAGATTGATGCCACTTCCGGTGACCTTGAGACTCTTGTAAGTCATGACGGCAGAGTCGTTTACAGGAAAATCGACGTCGAACTTGACAATGGTGGTAACATACGGCGGGATGATAAGCTGGATGGGGATTGTCCTCTCCTCGTTGATCTTCATGTAGATTGGATCTTCCGTCACGTTCACTTGGATTGCCGTATCGTTCAACAGAGTCATGTTTTCCTGAAGAAGGATTATATTGTGTTGAAACGTGTGTGCATGAGTATGTTTTTACGCCACTTTGGAAATATACGATCCATTCCAGGGCAAGAGACACCAAGAATTGATTACGAAGGTTGTTTTATTTTTGTTAAATGGCGGACTCAGCAATATGATAGCTTTATGACGACAGCCTGTAAATAATCGAGTTTGGACAAGGAAAACCATCTTTTAACATCTTTTGGCATGACGCGGACGGGGATCGAACTCCGAACTTTTCATTTGTACGGTGATCCATCAGGACCATGTCATTTTTTTTCAAAATTCAAGAAATAATTTGAAATGTCAAGGTGCTGTTGAAAAATAAAGATACCGTGTTGAAATTTCAAGATAATACCATTAATACCATGAATTTCCAACACAAAACCTTGAATTTTCAATATAACATGTTGAACTTTCAACATAGTAATTTGGCTTTAATGAATTATTAACGGCCTCATTTCTTTGAAAATAAACAGACACGCGTCACTACCACACCGTAAAACAGCCGTATGTATCCACTTGTGATGGAGGAACGTTGTATACACAAACCCGTGACGTACTGGCGATGGCTGGTTATCGATCCTAGATCTTCGACAAGTCAAGATAACACTTTAATAACTTGGCTACCTTACCGCCCCTAATAATCATAGCTGGTAATTAGGATGTATACGTATAGCTTAATTACAATATTGAAATCGATTTGTCCAAAACGATACTTCCTGATGGAGTCTTGCTGAATATTGGTTCTTGATGCCAGTAAAAATATTTACAGTGGATAATGTAGAGTAAAAACAATGTATTCGGTAGTTTACATCCGTTTTATCTTGGTAAAACACAATTCATTCTAACACCTCTCGCTCTTACTTACCGGCAGGATGTCTGTGAAGCTGTCGATGACGGTGAGTTCATGTTGCACGATGGAGATCTGCTGGTCGTTTGTGTTGAGGCTGCCACTGAGCATGATCTTGTCGCCGACGTTGATTGTGGCGTTCTTCAGGACCCGGATTACAGCCTCCAAGCGGATCTAAAAACATAAAGGTAACTGGTGAATGAGAGAGTGAGTGAGTTTGATTTTACGCCCATGTAAGCAATATTCCAGCAATATCACGGCGGGGGACACCTGAAATGGGCTTCACACATTGTACCCATGTCAGGAATCGAACCCGGGTCTTCTGTGTGACGAGCGAACGCTTTAACCACTAGGCTATCCGACCGCCCCCATGAAGAAGTGAGTGAGTTGGTTTTAACGTCACTTTGAATAATATTACAGTTAAATCACGGCGAGTCAGCTTGTTGGGGGTAAAAGCTCGACGTGATGTTGTTCTAAGACGTTTAGGGGGTACGGGTGGCCCAGTCGTCTAAGGCGCCGCGATTCGCTGTGCAGAGTTGCGTCCCTTAGGCACGCCAGAAACCTATGATTGTGGGTTCGAATCCCGGTTCGCCCCGATTATGTTTCTAGGTTTGTCAGCACCATACCCGTGCTCGTGGGTTTCACCGAAGTGGTAAACGTCTGAGACCTGCACCAGTTCGGGCTTTCATCCCACACTAAGCTGACACGCCGCGATATAACTGGAATAGTGTTAAAAGCGGCGTTAAACCCAACTCACTCACTCTCTCACTCTAAGACGTTTACCACTGGTGAAACAGAGGAGCACGGGTGCTGCCAAACCTTGCAGTGGTTACCATATCCCTTCATCCGTACATCGTTTTTTTTTTCCATATGTCGCTACTGATAGCTACGGAATATCCCGTTGGCAAAGTCTGCCAGTGTGCAATGTAAAATTATTTAACTATGTACTGCTACATCTCCGATAGGCGGCCTTCACGGAAACACTACCCGTTTTGTGTTTTCGATCTGGAATTCCTTTCAAATGTTTGAAGAAGCAACACGATCATGAGAAACACGTTTTTTATTGTTAATTGAATTCTTGGTAAAAGAGTACAACCGAATCAGTAAATGCCGCTCACCCTGTTTGCCACGGTGTCCACCTTGTTGACGCCGACGTTGCACACGTAGCCTAAGGACAGCGACGCTATGGCGAAATCACTGCTCGTACCCAGGGTTCTGAAATTATATGAATAAAAATTCATAAGAAAACGCAAGAATGGAAATCCCAGAAAATACAGTATGTATCGCATGTGACCGGGTGATCTAGAGTAAATGCTGCATTGTATTACACTGCTGGGCAAAAGAAAGACACGTTTGATGGTGGCTAAATTGAAACAAGCAAGAAAAGGGTAAAGTGACGATGATGACACATGAATAATATCAATGAGTATATCCTAACATGTTAGCCCAGTTGATAACGTTTGTAATTCATTGGTCAAATCCAATTTTGAAGTGTTTCTTTTCTTTTGCCCTGCAGTTTATACTACCAAACCTTACTACTACTACAACCACTACTACTACTACGACCCTCGAAGATCCGGGGTCAAATAGGTCTTCAGCAACCCGTAAATGGCGACTATGCTTGTCGTAAGAGGTGACTAACGGGATCGGGTGGTCAGGCTCCCTGACTTGGTTGATGCATGTCATCGTATCCCAAATGCTTAGATCGATGCTCATGATGTCAATCACTGGATTGTCTGGTCCAGGCTCGATTATTTACAGACCGCCGTCATAAAGCTAGAATATTGCTAAGTGCGGCGAGCAGAAGGTCCGGGGTTCGATTTCCGACCGCGTCATACCAAAAGACGGGAGAAGATGGTACTTGTTGTTACCCTGTCTGGCGCTCGGCATTAAGGGGCTAAAACAAGGACTGGTCGGCTCAGAGTCAGTATACTGTGTCTGAGTGGGGTATTCATGTTAAACTGCGGCATGGCATCTCAGTGGGCTAGCACTATAAATCGGCAACAGTCGGGACTAGTACAAGCAGCCACACACACGTGCATGCACGTCGATGTAGAAGTGCAATAATCTTTGACGCGACGTTAAACCCAATTTCACCTCACCTCTGATTTATACAAGACCTCACCTGTTGATATAATCAGCGGTGGTCTGCGAGTGATCAAGACAGGGCATGTTTTCTCCCTTTTCCAACAATCCCATGTAGCGGACCTGAAGGACGTCCTTTAGAGCGAGGGGTGCCATAACCTTAGCGGTCAGTTCCTGGGTCACTGATAGAGGGAGAAAGATGTCCAGGAATATTCTCTTGGCCTGTCCTTTGTTGATGTCACTGGAGTTGTCGGTGCTGGTGATCGGGAGGACCCCAATGGAGATGGTTGAAGCGTTGTTGACAGTCTAGCGAAAGGAAGGTCGACGTGAGCATTCAGAAAACATCGGTATTGGTATGCGATTTATTCCGATGAGCCCCCAAACCCTGTTTTAAACTGACAATCTATGGAGGGTGTGATCATTAGGAAAATGGCGGTACAAGTTGGTACAATTTGACGGGTACAACCCACGTTTAACATGACAGCTCAAATGAGGTAAAGTCGATTTGAGCATTCGGAAAACATCGGAATTTCAAGTTTTACGATTAATTGAAATTGATAGGAAGGTCCCGAATACCAAGCAGTGTAACGCAACTTTCCAAAATCGAATACCAAAGATTTTACTCCCTCTGTCAACCCAGAGCTTTGTTTCCTGGGAACGTATATTCTCTTCTTAAAAAAAGCCGGGCAAAGGAAAGCATACACCCATGTTTGAAGGTGGCTAAATTGAACAAACAAGAAATGGTTATTCAATGGTGATGTATTTGATACGGGTATCATAGTTGTGTCTTGGGCCTTACGTCTGCAGTGGTTCAGTCTAGTAACGTTTTGATAACGATTGTAATGTTTTGTCGAATACAATTTTCAAGTGTTTGATTTATTTTGTCCCCCGTTTATGGGGTGTGTGTGTGTGTGTGTGTGGGGGGGGGGGGGGGGGGGGGGGGGGGAGAGGAATAAATTAAATATTTATGTTTGCTTTTGTTTGGTGTGATCTTGTTTTACTGAATTTACCATTGAAAAACAGCAACATGATGGTAGCCGATTAAATTCGATTGGGATGATCAAATTATCTACCTATCAATTCCCGAAACTAATGTCTAAACCATTTTTTCCAAGTCCCGTTTTCAGTTCAATGTGAGGATACAGAAATTGGTATAATTTAATCCGAAGAAATCTCATGGCCACAATCCACTCGCCTGAAGGAAATATAAAATATTACTACACTGGTGGGTATGCACAAAAATCGGTCGATACGGACAGATTAAACTGAACCCTGGTCATCAAGGTTAGGAGGTTTCCGTCGATTGGAAACAATGTATAGAAGTGTAGTTAATAACTTTTGTCGGGTACACTTTTTTTGGGGGGGGGGGGGGGGGGGGGGGGATTTTTTTTATTGTTCCCAGAATTGGAGATTAATACAGTATTCCGTCAAAAACATATTTCGGATAGCATAGAATGGCACAATATTGTCGGGTACACTTACCGTGTTGATGCCAGCGGAGCTCGTTGTTGCCACAACGGTAACTGTCTGTGTATTTGTCTGCGTTCCATACGTGGTCAAGATATCAACGTTGTGGTTTCCGGCATCAGCGGCGTTTTTAGACAACTGAACAACCACTTCTACCATGACGGTGTTGTCGTCAAACAACGGGGAGGAGATCAGTGGCGTGGTGCCTGAAATGTTTTATTAACGGTTCGTTAGTGGCTTAAGTATTTCACACAAATTTGGCTCTCGGTGTTTTCAGGTTAACACTTGATTTGCCGTTGCATGTGTTTGTGACGGGTGCCAGTGGTGGGACGAACACCTGGTATCTTTGTTTTTCATAGTGATTCATAAACATATGCTCATGATATAGTCGGAATCGTACAATTACTTTCAATTAATCGTTTTGAGATAACCGTTGTTTTTATGAAATGTTCCGCCATCAGAATGTAGAAAACTAAGGAAATTGTTAACGTATACAAGTTCAATATACGGTGTAATACACCGTCTGTAGGTCAACAGACTGACGTGATAGAATCATAAACGGACACACACTCACCCACCCCCCCGAACATGAAATAGTCCGTCCCTTAAGGTCGATCGGTAATAAGACTGTTGCCTTGTACATACTGTTACGGGTCAAGTTTCAATCGACAAAGGGATTGTTTGCTTTATAAACTTTTTAAAATTAATTCTATTTTCTTTTTCCACTGAACATTGGACTGCAGGTCCAAATGTGTGTTGTCAATGTACCATGGGCACTGTAGCTTCCATTATGCGTCACAGACCCTCAACCATGTTATTTTCCCTTCCACGCAGCCCTTACTTTTATGCTATAACCCTAAATGAAGCAAGTCCATATTTCCACCATGTTGGAATCCTTTTTTCTGTCAAAATTATAATTTTTTAATATTTTCAGAGACTAAGTGTATAACGTCCGCCTCTCTTGTCCTTATAGACTTGACGGATACGGTTCAGTTGTCAAATCGTAATTTCTCTAAATTAATGTTTAGCAGCGTAATCATGTATGCTGAAATACAATGTTTAAGACCAATCATATTATGGGTGCATTAAATATACTAACCGACATTGGATATGATGCCTAAATCCAGCGATCCTTTCGTATTAGGACCCGTTGTTGAGTCCTTGGTCAACACACTTTTGACGTCGTCCTTGACACAGGGCACGTTGTAACCCTTGCCGATGATGCGGACGGTGCAAATGCTGAGCTTGTCGTCGGCGGTGGTGACGTTGATGGTGTAGTGTGCACTGTCGGTGGGGGCAGTTTTGATGATGAGGGTATAGACTGCCGCGTAGCCAACCAAAGTCTGAGCGCTGCCGTTGTTGATATAAGCTATGTAAGGCGTAGTGGCCTGCAATGATATGAGTGAGTGAAGTGAGTGAGTGAGTGAGTGAGTGAGTGAGTGAGTGAGTGAGTTGGGTTTAACGCCGCTTTGAACAGTATTCCAGTTATATCACGGCATGTTACCTAGATGTGGGAGGAGATACAAAGTGAAGCAGGTCTTAGACGCTCACCACTATGGTGAAACTCACAAGAACTGTATGGTGCTGACAAACCTAGAAATATAATCAGGGCGAACCGGGATTAAAACCATAGGTTCTAGATGGCCTGAAGGACACATGGAATTGCGCTGCCTATAACGACTGGGCCACCGGAGACCTTAAGTCCTGATTGTCAAATAATGTCCAAAAGTGCACGTGTTCATAATCTTGGAGCATCGTTATTGTGCTGTATTGTTAGAGCATCAGTTGGTGTTTCTGTGCTGAAAACTGCCAACAGCTGTGAAATACCCACTCGCTGTTAAAAGCTTAAAGACAGATAGATGGGAAAGAGTACTAGTCGAGAGAAACGAAGCTATAGGTGGAGTTGATTCCTCTCTTTGAATATACCAGACCGGCGGAGATGGGGAAACGCAGAAAGTAATATAGACGCCCTCACTCTGTCACGCCCCTGGTGAAATGCCTGACTACAAACAACGTGCTATTACCAGTCTTTTACGAACGCTCTGATAATGAATTTCTATTAAGAACGGTTTTAATCGAAATCAATCTTTGTCTCGATAATCGGTGTTTGAGAATAAAATGTGAGACTATGCTCGTCACAAGGACTTTATACATGTATATTTAACGTTGGACTGAATTAACGGGCGCTGTCCGCCGCAAAACGCCTATGGAAACTGTGTGTTGGTTGGTTTTTTGTTTAACGCCGCACTCAGCAATATTCCAGCTATATGACGGCGGTCTGTAAATAATCGAGTCTGGACCAGACAATTCAGTGATTGACATCATGAGCATCGATCCACGCAATTGAGATCAATCACATGCATCAACCAAGTCAGCGAGCCTGACCACCCGATCCAGTTAGTCGTCTCTTACGACAAGCATAGTCGCCTCTTACTGCAAGCATGGGTTGCTGAAGACCTATTCTTCCCGGGATCTTCCCGGGACGAAATTGTGTGTTAGAACCATCTTGGAAACAGAGAAGACCTATTATCTGACGGTGAATGCAGGCCTATGGCATGTTTAGTTTGGGGCTCAAGGTCAACCTCATCAGGTCATTTATCAATTATATAACTTACGGAATATCTACTTTCTTAAAATTATTTTTGTTGGTTTAAAATAAAAACCGAATGCAATATTTAGTTTAGAAATGACTTGTGAAACGGTTCTCTAACTTCA